AAATATTTTATATGTTAATTTGAATTAATTTAACGAAGTATCATATGATTTTTAATTTTTTAAAAAAATTTATAAATTTGATCTATACATGAAATTTTTTTTTAATTTAACAATTAAATTCTTAAAAATTTGATATAGAACATTAATTATTAAATAGAATAAATCTATCAAGACTTATTGTTGAAGTAAGTAAATTTTTTCTTATTAAAAATGAAGATAATTTTACCACAAAATAAAAAATAATTAAACAATAAAATAAAATATAAAAAAATATTAATATATTTATTATATTAGATATAACAACATAATTAAAATATAATTAATAATATATATTTTATAAAATTAATATTTTATATATAAAAAAATGAAAAAAAAATTAGTGGAGGCAAGTTCCTCCACTTTGATTAACTTAGATCTGTCCCTGCATATGGTTGTGTTGTGAAATGTTAGTCATGTGTATCCTCTTTCTTTACTTCAGGTTCACTCCAGTTTGAAATGAAATAAAATCTGCTACCATTGTCTTTAGTGATATATTGCATTGTTCTTAATAATACACTGTATAGCCTAACTGTTTAGCAATTGAAGTTATCAATTTTCATTGACAATATTACAAAATTCAGTGTTTGAAATGCTTTGTACCTTGAGTCTTTTTTCTTGCATGATTCACAACCGTGAACTATAATCGTTGATCGCTTATGTTTAGCAGTCTGGAACCAGAACGGCCCGTTCTGAAACTAGAACGGCCCGTTCTGGTTTCACTTTTAGTGTGTTAATTTTGCACCTGGAATGGGTCATTCCGAATGCAAAATTAACACACCAAAAGTAAAACCAGAACAGCCCGTTCTGGTTCCAGTTATTTTCAAAAAATTTGTCATCCACGTGACATCCATCTATGCATCTACGTGACATCCACGTGACGAACAGTTAACTCCATTTAAATAATTTGGACAAAAGTCCCACATTGAAACTAATTAATTTATTAGGGACCAAATTGAAACTAATTAATTAATTTGAGACCAAATTAAAACCAAAAATAAAAATAAAACTAAATTAAAACAAACAATTATTATAAAGGACCAAAATAGGTTTTTAGCCTATATTTTATATCTTTCTCACTCGTATCCTTGCTTGATTCCTTATTAACGTGAGAAGTTTTCGTCTCCCAGATAATACCGCGGCCATGATCATTGCATTGCTGCTAGAGTATTTGTTGCGTGATGTAAATTGTTTGGCATTAAATCTAATAAATTTATTGTTCTATCGCGTAATTGACTTCTACGAGTTACATCTGAATCAAAATGGATAGAATTTAACAATGAAATAAAAATTAGGGTACAAAATTAACAGAAGGAAAATGATCCCATAATATGGGGGTGATGTAAAGTCCTGCTTACTAATGTAAATCTGATTTCGACCCTAAACCTTAATTAATGATACAATTCTACTACAACCCTTCTCTTTCCTTCTTCCCTAACTGCTTTTTTCTCTTTTTTTCTTTTTGCTGTTCTTAGGGCATATACAGATACAACAATGACTAAATTGTCCCTGTGTTCGCGGACTTTATACTGTGTCAAAAAACTTGTACACATTTTTGGCTCAATATATCACAACACGAAGTAGGCCTGGCTGAGGTTCCGTGAAGTCGATGCCCTCTTCAAGAAGAAAACGCTGTACAGCAATTGGAAGTCTCGCAGGAGTGCGGGAACCCCTGGTATGATGACCTGTGCCCACACAAATATAAACCTGTAAACGCTGCTCAGCAGCTATGGCAGTATTTTTCAGCACACTCAACTCATGTTTCAGCACATGAATGGCTTCACTTGCGTGCAACCCATGTAGGTCTATAATCCTCTCATGTCCTCTTCCATTGCCCTGCATCTCTGGAGCAACCGGATTTCTGAAAAATCAACACTTGCTGTGACCGGGGCAGAACCCAACACTTCCAGAACAATGTAAATAAACATTCTGGTTCATATAATTGATATGGCATGGGACTCTAAGTAATTATTCTAGAAAAAACTTTTAGGCAGCCTGAACAGGTGGCAAGAAAAAGGAAGAGCTGCAGCAACTTAGTGCAATATATGTTCTCAATTGAGTAAAAATACTCTCAAACTTCATAAAGTTTCTTTAGAAGTCACCGGATAACAAGTTGGCATGACATTCTATTTGATGGGTCCAGATTGTTCAGTTCACCCCTCTCAAATGAGTGAGAAACAATCATTGTCCTTCTCAATGACAAGTGCATAAAAAATATTTAAAGAGTAAAAGATACATGGGGAAAGTAAAATATGTTTAAAATGAAAAAGGATAGAGCCAGCAAGTCAAACAAAAGGAATTCTTTCATGTCAATAAATGTATGCAGGTTGTGAGGGACAAGAAAATATGTTAACATCATGAAGCCATATAAGCTGTTCTTTAATCCAAACTTACATGAAGAGCAGGAATAAAAGCATTGGGGAACAACAAACCTCTGTCGGTAAATGGATTCTTGAGCTTTTCCATGAGCTGCCTTCATATGCATATTATGCAGTTGACCTTTAGCACTTAGTTCCTTTGCTAGGGCTTTGTTGCCAATAAGATAGGCTTGCCGTGCCTTGATTTCAAATTAGAAACCAATTAAACTCAAAAAAAAAGTCAAACAAAAAACAGATTCAAGAACAAAGGACTCTAGAAGAGGCTTGGTTGCTTATTCTTTAACTGGTATCAGCCCAACGGCTCTTATTAAATCAACCGTCCCAACTTGAAAATCCAAAGTCATGATACACACACTAAAAGGAGCTGAGAAAGTCAAGGGAATGCGTCAATAGAACCAAGCAAGAGGTGTGTAGCAAAGATCATTATTTAAATTCTGATTTCCTGTAACTTCATCAAAGCATGCATGAATTGGAATTTGGAAACCCACCTGCTCAAAATATGCATTACGTAAGCATGCATGATCACGAGCCTCTTCCCGCAGCTCTGAATACATATTTGCTGCCATGCAAAATTGTTAAAGAAAATAGTGCACAAAGAATTCATCCCAAAATGAAGCATATGAACAATAGTATTTACCAACTGCATCACCGGTTTCAAGCCAAATAGGAGCTGCCCGAGCTGAACCACGGTTCTGTAATCGATCACCAAAGTGTGCTCTCCCCTGTCCACCATTGTAGCCACTAGCCAGAACATTTGAACTCCTACTTGAGCCAATAGCAGCATCACCAGAGCCATTTTTATCATATTTCCAAATACCACCAGAATCCTGAGAAGCCAACTTCCTAACAGCTGAAGCAAAGTCAACGACATCTCTAGATGGAACTGGAGAGCTAGATTTGAAAAATAGCACATCACTGTCAGATGATCGGTAAGGATTGCTACTTTGTTGGACATTATCTACCACATATTTTACTGAAGCAGTCTGGCCATCCGGTGAAGTAAGTGCAGGGAAGTCCATTGCACTGAGATTGGGAGTTGACATAGTCTTTGAATTCAGATTCTGATTGAAACTACCATCAACTTGAAGCTACAAATATGGAGGGGAAAAGGAGAGATTATCAACATAAAGTTCCTTGGTTAAAATTTATTACGGGTAAATCAGTAATAATCATAAGAAATGACTATGGCAACCACGGAATGGAGAACAATTTTATTATTTGATCATACACTAAAATATATATATCCAACAAAGTGCTAATAAAATGCCAACGTTGAAAACATGAAGCAGAGGACTGTATCACAATACTAAATTAAAAAAAGAGTGTGGATCAAAATTGACAATTAAAGATTATCTCTAACAACCCCCAATACCAGGCAACAGCAATTCAAAATTGAAAGCTAGGTATGTTGCACTTGAATCACTTCACAACTTTATAGGGAGCCGGATCTTCCCTGCCAAAACAAGGCACAGGTATTGCTCTAAATACTTAGCATCCATCCCATCAGACTTAGTATTGTACTAAGAGCCAAGTTGGATATAATTTAAAATAAACACTCAAAAACAAGAGAAGAAAATAAAATGAATCGTGGAGGTAAAATGTGTCAAGCTTCTCCCATAAAATTAAAATCAACTTACGGAAAATTTAAACAAGGGAATTCTAAAAAAATTGAGGTGCATGAGTTGATTTTAACTCATGGGAGATGTTTGATTCATTTTACCTCGATTCCAAAGCCTTAAAGCATACAGCATTGCTATAAGCAGGAGATAGATATTGTGCATAAATAGAATTGACAACGCATACATTTTCACAGTTGAATAACATGGGATGAAGCTTGTAAGGGACCATAATTTGATCACAAGTCAGTTATTTTATGAAAAAAATCAACCTACCTCTAACTGACTCAGCATCTCAGTGGTCAGATGTAAATCACATCCGTGGGCAAAGTAAACTTCTGCAAGGCTTTCAGCAGCAAAACCAGGGAACAAAGAAGCTAAAAACTCCAAAGGATTCAAATCAGTATCATCCACAATTGCATTTTCAGCCAAAACATCATTTAAATATCCATGGCTAGAGTTGTCATCATAAGTAAGCCCCTCTTGCACACAGCTAATATGCTGGTCAGCACTCCCAATTGCCCTATCCCAAGGCTTTGCCATAGCATTCAAAAAGCTTGCAGAAGACGGGTCCTCCCTGTAGCTTGAATTGGAAAACCTTAATTTATCTGCAAAGCTATTGCCATTAATATGCTGTTGAGATTTTTCCTCCTGCCCATTTATTATAAATTTACTTCCTTTAGAAGAAGGAAACCTGGAGGCTTCATTGTCATCATGTATGGATAAACCTGCTAAAGAAAGATCATCAAGACCTCGAGACTCATCTTCTCCCATGACCTTGAAATCAGGGGTAATATCATCAGGGAGCCGACACCGCCAGTATTGGTGCACCTCATCATCGGAATTATTTGAAATGGATGATTCTGATCTATCTAAAACTGCTTTCCCAAGAGCTCCAGCAGCAGTAAGCGTTGCTGTAGTATCTACCGAGCTGGTAGTTCCAGATAATGATCTGAGGGAAAAAGGAATAAATTCTGCTGCATTTGGATTCAGAGTTGTTGCCTTGCTTGGGCTTAATAGCTTTGCATCCGTTTGGGACACTTTCTTGGACAAGTTCATTATTAACTAGAATATGGTCAAAATAACTACAACATAAACAGACTTTAAAAATAGTAACAGCACATGCCCCCGTCAGCCTCAACCAAACCCTGAAAATGTTTCAATTTAATCATGTTCATGGCTCAGCCAAACAGCTATAAAAAGAACAGGGAAAAAAAAAAAAAGGAAAAAAAAAAAAAGGAAAAAAAAAAAAAGGAAAAAAAAAAAAAGGAAAAAAAAAAAAAGGAAAAAAAAAAAAAGGAAAAAAAAAAAAAGGAAAAAAAAAAAAAGGAAAAAAAAAAAAAGGGAAAAAAAAAAAAGTTAAGCACAAATTCCATACATCATGCAGTAGAAATGACGATTTCAATAATATCCCATATAACATAAAAGTGCCAAATAAATAACCCAATATAGAACAGCAGTTACTACTATTTTTAATATCCCTGCAATGAATCCTATAAAGGTAATAGGAAGGAACCAGCACAAATTTCGGAAACTATAACAAATTTTACAAAAACCAAAATAAGCTAAGGTGAACACTGATCAAATTCAGAACTAGAATGACACAGCAAGAAAAAATTAAAACCCTAGATATTTCGAAGTAAAAAACAGGAAATGTCACAAAACAACTTCAAACAGAAATTAAACAATACAGAGTATTCTCGAACAGCAACTAACTGAAAACCCCAATTACACAAACAAATATATATAAAAAGAAAAACCTAGAAATCTGAAACCCGGATTTTACACGAACATCAAACAACAAACAACAAGCGCACAGAGAAGGCGACCTCCCAATACGGAAGCCGCGAACTTGAAAAGAGATCTGGAGCAATTGAACGCCACAGGAAATAAACCCAAAAAGTAAACAATAATAATAACAGTAATTCCAAAGCAATTGCACAAACAGGAGACAAAAAAGAAATGAATGAGAAGGGTGAGAAAAAGATCTGAAAGAGTATTATATACCTTCGCGAATCAAATCAAATGGATCCATATGGATGGAGATGAGATCAAAAATGAAGAGAAAAAAAAGTGAAGGTATTTAATTAATATTGTGAAAAATTGAGATTGGGATTATCCAATACCATCTCAGGTGCGAGTATGACAATTATCGGGTCGGGGTTTGGTTCTCTATGGAATATGGATTCTGTTTGAAAGCCTCTTAGCCAATACAATAGCAGACACCAACGCCAACGCTAACACCAACACCAACACCACAAAAATACGAAACAAGACACCCAACGATTTGACCTCTCGCAAAATCACACTATTTACTACACCATCACTCTTCACTGTTCACAATTAATTAATCTCCCTTATTGGGATTTGGGAAGAAAATCATAACTTCGTTTTTTTATATATATAGATGGAAACAGACTACAAATTTTCTTTATAAATCCTTCAGTAAATTAGTCATCCGTATAAAATACTTCTAAATATATTTTATACAAATGGCTAGTTATTAATGCTAAGTTAAAAGTTAAGATACATGCATGAGATTGTTTTGGAGAAATTATTGTTGAAACTAGTTAACATACATGCATGAGATTGTCTTGCAGAAATTATTGTTTTAATTATAATTTTTTTATTCATTAAATTATAAAATTTATAATTTTGTATATATTATTCCAACTCATATTTTACTAGGTTGATCATTATATTCGTGTAACTAGTATTTTTGTATATGTTTTTTATAAGTTAAATATTTATTATTTATAAAAATATTATTCAGATAAATAAATATTATATTAAAATATGTAAATTATATTTAAATAAATATTTTTAAACATATAAATTATATTTTAGATTTTACATGAATAATTTGTATTACATTATAAGATTATTTTTAATTATTAATAATTTATTTTTAAAAATTAAAAATTTAAATTATAAATAAATATTATAAATAAAAAATTGAATTAAAGAAGAGAAGAAAAAAATATAAAAATGTTAAATTCAAAAAATAACTCTTAAAGATGTTCTCAAATAAGATAATTTTCACGTCTAATATATAGGTCAATATTTTAATATGTACAATATACATGTTAAGTATTTATTATATGAAACTAAAATTTATAATAAATTGTATATACAAATAAAAGTTATGTTTAAATATGTAAATCATATTTAAAATGTACGTAAATAAATATTTTTAAACATTTAAATTATATTTTAAATTTATAATAAATAATTTGTATTATAATATAATATTATTTTTTATTGATAATTTATTTTAAAAGTAATAAATTTTATTTCATAAATAATTATAATAAATAAAAACTGAATTAGATAAAAAATTTAAAAAAGTCTTAAAAACTATTTCGTCGAAGAAAAACTCTTATAAATACTATCTTGCAACATAAAGGTATGAGTTGATGTTGAAGGTTGATTTAATTCATAAATAAATATAATAAATAAAAATTTAAATTACATAAAAAATAATAATTTCGATAAAAATTTCTATTTAAAATGACTCTTAAAATACTCTCACAATATATATAACCATCTGCATTTAATATATAAGAGTTAATTATCTTTATTAATTGAAGAAAAAATATTAATCCACTCATATTATTTTGTTAATAGTTTAGTTCTTTTTTTTACAAACATTTAAGAAAAATAAATATTTTGTATAATTAAAATAATAAATTAATATTTTAAATGTATAATTTATATTATAATTAAAATTATAATAAATAATGTTTTAAACATGTACATTATTATATTTTAAATTTGTGAAGTATAATTTATAGTTTAAAATATATTTATTTTTAATTGGTATTTAAATAAGATAAATATTTATTTTATATAACTAAAATTTATAATAATATTTTTTTTATATACTTGTCATATTACTAGTACAGAATCAAGCACATGTTAATTTATTTTTAATAATTCCTATCTTTAAACAAATTAATATAATTAATTAGATATGAAGAGTTTGTAAAAAGATTTCATTGAAAAAAAAATGAATGGTGGGTATTTTAGAGAGTGGTAATAAGGGTGAAACAATAAATAAGATAGATAATAGTTTGAGACTAAAATAATCAATAATTTAAAGAGTAATTAAATTTTAAAATGATTTAATTAAAAGAAGGTATTATTTTTTTTTATTAATATAATTATTGTATTGGAGAAGTCTTATAGTTGATAACATACCAGTCTTCAAAGTACTAAATGTTTGAGGATTCAACACGTGTATTTGGTTATTAATAATGTTTAAGATCCAATCTTGTATCCAGTTACTAACTTTGGAACTGCAACTACTAAGATGTATTGCCCAGGATAACCCAACAAGATTATACTCTCGTCATAATTATTATGAAGAGTAACACCCAACCCTTATAAAATAATAAAAATTCTTTAATATGTTTAATGATAAAATATTCAATGATATCATTTCTTTACTTATAAATATATCGATATCATACATTCATAATTTGTAATCATATATTATACACTAAATTACTACTTGACTTTCAAAAATCGAGGATCGAGAAGACGAAGACCGAAGACTTCCTATTGAAAATTTCTTACACTCATTTTCCAACAAAAACAATTAGATATTAGAATTTAAAAAGAAAAAAAAAACACCTTCAAGAAAAAAGGAAAGGAATTGTAGACGTGATGGATAAGTTTTATATATATATAAGGGAGGAAATAAAATTTCTATTAAAATGTATCTCTAATTACAATTTTATATCTCAATTACTTGAGTGAATGATTTTTTTATTAAAATGGTAAAATAATAGACAATTTAGAGAGAAAAAAAATGAAGACAAAGTAGTGCGGACAAATAAAATAGTAAAAAAGTTTAATAAAAAAAATTGAAGATTTACGCATGAATACTACACCAAAACTTTTCGAATATTTATCACTATTATATATATACTCGTTATGTAAATTCAAAATTATTAATTAAACCAAAATAAAGTAAGTATTAATTAATTCACGTTTTTATAATCACATCTCAAAGCAAATCTTTAATTATTTAAGTCTAGAAGATTTTATTTTAACGTTGATTTAAGAGATTAATTTAATATTGATTTTTAATAATGATCAACCAAATTTTTCAACAAAGACTAATTATCAATAAGATGATACTATAATCAATAAAAAAATGCTTTTATTATCTAAAATGATAAACTAACAAAGCTAGTTTGAGAATAAAATTACATTAATCATCAAGAAATTTAGAATGGGAAATATGCTTATATTAAATTATTTAATTAAATAATTCAATTTCAATATTCATTTTACAACTTTATATGATATAGTGATAATGGCTAATTTTTCAAATTTATTTAAATATGAATATTCTTTCATATTGCCGTGGACAAATATTAGGTGATAAATGATAATGACCTGTTTATTTAATATTTAAAAATATTTCTGAAAAAGTACTCTTTAAAAAATAATTATTTGAGAAGTGGATATGAGTTTTTTTTTTTTTAAGTTTAAACAAAAGTTTTTCATTAAAAAATCAATTTATAAGACAAGCACGTAAAAAAATTAAAAATAAGAATTCTTTTTAAGCAAACAAGACTGGTATCTCATCCATTTTCTCTGAAATGTAAATAATTAATAATTTATTTTTGAATCATAAATGCATAATTACAGGAACTAAAAACATATTTGAGTATAAATTAAAAGTATTTTTGAGAATTTTAAAAATATTTCTAAACTTGTGTTTTTTTTTTAAATAATTATATGGAGATCCATGTGGAAAGTGCATAGGACGAGTTTTTGCAACTGAATATAGCAGTGTGGAGTGAGTCAAAAGAAGTGTTACAAACCTCAAGAGCACCTTTCTTAATCCTTCCAGATTTGGAACCCACAGTACTTTGGTAATGAAACCCTCGCTGATACCTTCGTTATGTATACACGCAAATATGCTTCCATTAGTAAATTAAAATATGATTATCCGCAAACTCCAATCTGTATGCAAGTGTTTTGAAATCAATTGTCTAATTATTTATCCTGGATGACTAATTTGAGTCTGCACACAGCACAAAAACGTGTTACTTTACAAAATTTCAATGCTAGTGTGATTATGGTGCTCAAGAGGAAGTATTCTTAATACTTATCTAAATCTTAGTTTCTTCTTTGACACGGAATTTTATCATCATCATTAGCAATTCCACTTGTTTTATTGTTTCAATCTCTGTTAAAGTTCGCCACCTTCATTATTTTCCAAAGGTTTTCAAACAAGTTAAGACACTTAATTTTTTTTATTGATAAGCACAAGTTTAGACACATGATTGTATACTCAAGTACACCGCATGAAATTGCCCAAATGGTTTGCGCATAGAAGAAGATTGAAACATGTTCTGTGAAGCGTTAAAATGCTAACTGAAATAGAAAAAAATGTCAAATAGACATTCCCTAAATCATTTAAGGTCTAAATGATAACTATGTCCCATGTTACTAGAAAATAAAGAGTATTTTATATGTAACTCAATATTTTATTTTAATGTTTGCTAGAAATATATGTTGCTGATTATATATATATATATATTATTTTCGAAATGTTTTCAAATTTGTAATACCATATATTTATGAGTAATTTGATAATGATATTATACTGAATAATTGAATAGTATGGAGAAAAGACAGATATTAAAGGGGAGGTTGAATAGTGTGTATCAAAAACTTACATGTTTGTGTAGTGAAAAAAGAAATAACTTATCAGACAAAGCACTAGGGACAAGTCAAATGAAGCACAAAAGATTTTTATACTAGTTTGTCTCAACTACCCAGACCACGTCTAGTTTTCAATCTAACCAGATTGAATTTCACTGTCTTTTAACAAAGTTACAAGTATTCTTTTACCAAACTACTTCTAACTCAATCGTAAGTAGTTTTTGACTAGTCTCTTCAAACAACTACTATGTTTTTTGAACAAGTCTCTTCATGCTTAACATCAAGTATTCTTTCAACTAGGCATGACATTCTAACCTGGTCCCGTGAGTACCCATCCGAACCCACCTTGATTTGGACGGGAAAAATCCGTGTTGACTGGGTTTGAATTTTCCCCGCTTGGCAAAATCAGGGACGAGGATGTTAATATCTGCCCCGCCCCTGCACCCGTTTAATAATGTAATTACAAAACTACCCTTATATACATATATAAACTAAAATTAGAAACCCTAGCCTCATTTTTAGTACAAAGTTCACCTCACGCAGCAGCAAGCCAGCAACTCTCACCTCTTCATCTTTTCATCTTTCTTAGAGTCATGAACGCAAGCCACAACTCTCTCCTTTTCAT